CCCGGGGGCCTTAAGGGGGATCGTCGGGAGCGAAACGGGGCGAGGACAGTCATCGGTGGCGTTCGCGCGGCTTTGAAGCGTTGGTGTTTTTTTTCTTCGGAAGGCTCCGCGGGAGGCTTCGTGGCCACGTGGGCTCGTCCCATGGCCCTCCTCCGAGCCTCCTCGCAGGCACGCCAGAAGCCATCGCGAACCATCTTGGGTCGTAGTGGGCCATCTCGGAGGCCAGTCTGGCGCATCGAGGGCCACCTCGCGGGGCCACGCTGAACCTGAAGAGGGCCGTCTGACACCTCGGGCCGTCCTCCCCCGCCGGTGCAGACCCCCAAGGGCGTGGGGCAGGAGGAGGGGCGAACCCCTCCCCGACCGACCAGGGGAAGCAAGGGTTCCGGAGGATGCAGGAGGAGAACCGTTACATACCCCCCCCCCTCGTCCAGACCCCCAGGTGGGGGAGGCAGGAGGAGGGGCGAACCACTCCCCGACTGGGGGGGACAGGGGTGCTGTGGAAAGTGAGGGAGAGGGACCTCTATAGACCCCCCCCCGTCCAGACCCCCAGGGGGGTGGGGCAGGTGGAGGGGCGAACCCATCCCTGACCAGGGGGAGCAGGGGTTTTGGGGAGATGGTGGAGAAGAGCCGTTAGATCTCTCTCCCCCGTCCGTCCAGGCCCACAGGGGTGCGGGGCAGGGGGAGGGCCAACCCCTCCCCGACCGACGAGGGGAAGCAGGGGCTGCTGACGATGCTGGAGAAGAACCGCTATGTACCCCGCCCCGTCCAGAGCCCCAAGGGGGTGTGGGGCAGGAGGAGGGGCGAACCCCTCCCCGACCAGGGGAAGCAGGGGCTTTGGCTGATGATGGAGAAGAGCCGTTATTGATCCCCCCCCGTCCAGAACCCCCCAAAGGGGTGTGGGGCAGGAGGAGGGGTGAACCCCTCCCCGACCACGTGAAGCAAGGGCTTTGGCTGATGATGCAGAAGAACCATTCTTTATCCCCCCCCCGTCCAGGGCCCCAGGGGTGTGGGGCAGGAGGAGGGGTGAACCCCTCCCCGACAAGGGGTGGCAGGGGTTTCGGAAGATGCTGGAGAAGAGCCGTTATTACCCCCTCCGTCCAGACCCCCAGGTGGGTGGGGCAAGAGGAGGGGCGAACCCCTTCCCGACGATGGGAAGAAGGCGCTTGGGGTTAATCAGATACGAACCGTTATACCACCTCCGCCAGAGAGGTCGTCCGACCGCACGGCACACGCCCGAGACTTGCGAGGGCACCGTGCCAGGGGGAGGCCTTTGGAAAGGCGCCTGGCCATTGCACATGCAAACGTCGGGAAGGCCAAGAATCAGGCGATCGCAAACATGGATCAAGGGGGCGCGGATTCCAGGGGAATTCGCCCATTTCCGCCGCCGAACGAGGCGGCACCGGCCGCATTTGGGGGAGGGTACCTCCCCCGATCCATGGATTTGGCGACCGCACGCCCAATCCATGGATTGCTCATCCATGCTTGCGCGGCCCCGAATGAAGACACGGGCGCCGAGACTCCGAGGCTGGTCCATCGCCACCGCGTGTGGGAAGCCGAGCTTCCCAGCTTCCTCGGGAGGCGGCGGATCTGAATACCCCCCAGGCCGCAGGGCGTCGGCTCCCCTGTCGGGCAGGGCCGGCGCACCAAGCGAAGACATCAGAGATTCTCGAGCAGTGGCGAAGCGTCCTGGTTTCCCTGTAGGCTCACCAAAGAATGTTCGAAACACCTTCTGTGGTCTGCACGACATGTTCTATTTCTGGCTTGGGCTGTGTTGTTGTAACATATCGAGCTTACGTTCGAATAACATTGTTTGTGTTCCTCGGGCATGTTGAGGTTCTAAGAGTAGTTCGTGGTAGGCCTATAGGAATGCCGTAACGGTCGGTCCCTGCTCAAGAGTCCAATGGGTTTAGCTGTGTTTTGTAGGATGTCTGTACGAATCCCCGCCCCCCCAGAGGTGTCTGCAATGCAGTTGTCAGGAGCACTGGCGGAATCATGCCTTCCGACGGAGTCCGAGAGCGAGGCAGCCACTCGCGGAGTTTTCCCGCCACGTCTCGCCGCCGCCCCCCCTTTTCATGCGCACATGTAACCACGTGAGTGGCGGCCAGCCGGGGATGGCCCAGGGCAGATCCGCCACCCGCTGCAATCTGCCAGCCACCAGGCCACAGAGCCCTTCTCTTCCAGTTTCGATGATCCTCAGTGCGGGCCAGATTTATATCCATATCCAGTGCGCCTTCGATTTTTTTGGAAGGGGCGCCACAAGGCCGAGGTGTACTGGACATGGATAAAAATCGAGCCTCTAGGGGGCAAATTAATCCATATCCAGTGCGCCTCGGGTTTCTGGGGAAGGGAGCCCGGAACTCCATACTGCAGTGGATATGGACAGAGGTACTGCTCGCACTCAGGACGCGTGTTAGTCCGATGTGTGTTTTCCCTCGCTCAGCTCTGCTGGAAGCACGCAGCCTGCGGCGGCCCTCGTTGCACCGCCTGAAGTCGTACGGAAGATCTCCAGTGGACAAGCACACGCTGACGCCAACACACGATCTGCAGATCTTCGACTCTGGACGCCCGAAAAGGGGTACCGAAAGAATGGGTACAATGCCCAACAGCAGTTCCTGTTCATTTTGAACAGGATTCGCTGTCCACGCCGCCGCGGCCTGTGTCCATTCGAGACAGAAGGCCGCCTGCCCAACAGCGGCCGCTGTTGGTTTGGGACAACATTTGTTGTTGGGCATTGTACTCATTTTTTCTAAACCCATTTCGGGCGTCAAAATCGACAGTTCTTTCATTCGTGGTCCAACAGTGCGCGCCGTGAGAGTACCACTAGAGCGAGGACGTAACGAGAAGCACGTGATTCGGCGAGGAAGCGGCCGCTCGGAGTTCGCGCATCCCTCTGGTGCCGCGTTCTGGCCCAGGCTGCACAGGGAGGCGTGGCGCGCCCCATTGCGCACGGCGTGGCGGAACATTGCCCCAGTCGCATGCTATCAGCATGTGGGCAGAGTTGCGGATTTGATTCGTGGCAGGAAGCTGGACTTCGGAGCGTGCGCGCGCGGACGCATTTCCAGGAATGCCCTGCAGAGGCCCCAGGCCGTCGCTCGCTCTTGTTACTTAACGCTTGGCTGCGCGTGCGTTGCAGCAGGTGCTCGGGCGCATGGTGAGCGCAGCTGCCCGAAGAACGCCCGAGCCACAAGCGAGATGCCCTGATACGCCTTGACTCTCCATCAATGGCACATCACGTGCTCTTGCATGCGCCAGCGCGCGAACCATGACATCGGCTTGCTCGTTACTAGTTTGGCTTGCCTGTGGGCGCCGCAGCAGCATCTGGGCACACGCACCCACCAGGGAAGGCACACGCTCGGATAGTGTGCGAAGCTGGCGCGCAGCTGGTCGACTTCGCGCACGCTCCCAACACGCGTGCGCGAATCGATTCGGGCGCCAGGGGGCGGTGACCTCTCCGGGCTGCTCCGAGGAGTCAGCTTCGGCTTATCGTTTCTCACTGCCGCCGCCAGCCAGTGGCCCGCACGCACAGCCAGGGCACCGCAAGGCCATCACCGACCCCATCTTCCCCGCGCGCGCTGCAGCAAGTCTCCCGAGTTGACGGCCCGAGCATCTCTCCATGGGGGCAGCCTGACCGCACAGCATTTGACCTCAGAGAGTGGAGTTCGGCTCGAAGCCAGTTGAAACTGGCACATTGGGTTAGGACGCAACGCCTGGGAGGTCAGATTCAGCATCGGCGCTGGTGTATCCACGGCCAGAGCCGCCTCAATCCAGCTTATGCTTTGTCCCTCATTATTTCTGGGTCCTTGGACTACAGGTACCCCTGGACTGCAGGTACCCTCTCCCCGGGCTGCAGGTACCCCCCCGGACTACAGGTACCCCCTGCCCCCGACAAAAGATAGGTACCCCCCCCCCGGACTCCCCCCCCCCGGACTACAGGTACCCCCCCCCAGAGTACAGGTCCCCCCTCCCTTGGACTACATCCACGCGCGCGGAATCCCGCGCGCGTGGAACCACGCGTGCGTTGACGCGTGATCACGCGTTCCCCCCAGGATTGCAGGCACCCCTCCCGGACTGCAGGTACCATTCCGCCGAACTACACGTACACCACCCCAGACTACTGGTACCCCCCCCCCTGGACCACAGGTACCCCTCCTCCAGACCACTGGTACCCTCCCCGCGCTAGAGGTACCCCCAGACATATGGAGGGACACCGAGCAGTCCCGTGCAATCCGGACGAACCCTGGGCTTACTATAATCCAACCGGAGTTCGCAGCACCGCGCCTTGAGCGGGCTCAGTCGCCCTTGCCCGTTCTTGCGAAGGCCTCCCAGGGGAGGGGCTCCGTGTTCCTTAATTGTTTCGCAGCTTGCCTTTGATTTTCCTTAGGTTTTCGATACGAAATCGAAGTTCAACTTATGGAAAATAGGGGCCTCGTTCTTTATTTAGGGTCCCTTAGGTCAACGCCTCGACTGTAGCACTGGGGAGGCCAGCGGGGGTGTCCACGAGGAGCGGGCGTGGAGGGACCTGCTCGGCCCCCGAAGGTGGACACGGTGGAGCTCTCCTGCGGCCACGGGCCTCGCGCTCGGATCGCACCGCGGCCGGCACGTGGGCTCAGCCGTTGCGGGAGCGGCAGAGAGGGGGGTGATGATTACAGTCGGGGCACTGAGGAAGGAACCCTTTTCGTTGGGGAGGGGCTCGGTGTTCCTCGATTGTTTTGCAGTTTCCCTTGGGTTTCCCATGGGACATCGAAGTTTAACTTAGGGGAAAAAGGGGCCTCGTTTCTTATTTAGGGTTCCTTAGGTCAACGCCCCTTCTGTAGGGGGGGGATATCATGGCGCGGGCCATGATATTTGTTCCCAAGATTGCATGGCGCCTCTTCTTGGTCCATTGCGTCCCTGGCTCCCCCCCTGGGGCCGCGCACGTGCCGCCGGCCATGATTTTTGCGCCCCCCGCCCTCTTGGACACCCCCCTCCTTGGCCCCTCCCGACTGCTGCAGGGCCCCGGGATGGAGACGTAACGAAGGTCCTGTTCTGCCTCGAGAGGACTTCCTGATGTCTGGGCGTTGCCGTTTCCACCACGGGGCGTCTTCGCCCAGTGTCGGGCCCGGGGGCCATCACCGACCTGGGCTCGAAGAGTGCCCTGCAGGATGGCGTCCGGGGCCCCCGTGGTGATTGTTCGCGATGGTGCGTTGTTGCTGCAATGTCGGAATACACATATATATATATACATACATACATACATACATACACATGCATACAAACAGACATACATACAGACAGACATACAGACAGACATACAGACAGACATGCATACATCTGTGTATGTTTGCATACATATAGACATGCACCGATGTATGTTTACATCCATAAACACATACATACATGCACACACACATATTTACACGTATATGTACGTACATCTGCGTATGTATTGAAAACGATTGCATTGGACATGTATCCAGAAGCCCGTAACACGCCGCCTCGTCACTGTACGGTTCCAGTCTGGTCTTGTCTTGGGCCCTCCGCGAGGGCGGCGGGAAGCGGCCTCGGCCTGGGGCCCTCGATGGTTGCTGGCCAGCTCGCCCGAGCAGCGGTGCGGCGCGTGGCCAGCCTCGGCAGCGCGGGGCTGGGCCGGTGCCAGCTGCTGCCCTCTCCCGCCGCGCCGCCGTGCCCGGCGGTTGTGACCTGCCCGGCGGCGCCGGCAGGTCCAGTGATGTCGTGGCCGGAGGTCACTCAGGAGGGGAAAAAATAACACAGACACAATTGATCGTCGACTCCCCCGAAAATGTGGGAACATATGGGAAATGGAGGGGGAAGACAAAAACCTAGAAAATATGAGAAAATATGGGGAATCGTTTTATTTGTGTGCATGTATTTGTGTGTCCCAGGGCTCCTTCACTCACGTTCACCTGCCCGCCGCCGGCGGCCTGCGCGGCGCCAGGGCCACTCTTTTGCCCGGCGGCCCCGCCGCCGGCGACGTGCCGGGCGCTGGCGCCCTGTCCGCCGTGCGAAGCCGGCCAGGCGCTCGGCGGGGAAGGGGCTTGCGCGGAGCGTGTTGGCCCGAGTGGAAAGCGTTGCTCGGCTTCCTGCGTTTGTTCGGCATGGTGACGCTCACGATCGCTTTCGTCCTCGGCGTGTGTGCTGTGCCAAACGGCGCCAACCAACAGCAACCCAATCTGAGAGGGATTTTGCATCTCGCGGGTCGCAGTTATCCCAAGATCTACGGGGATCAGGGGTGGCATTGGCGGGTCGTTTTTGACATCTGGCGTCCTCGGGTTCCCGGGCCATGATCCTGACGCCGGATGGTGATATGTACGTTGAGGATCTCGACTCCGCAGTGCCAGTGCGGTGGCTAGGTCAGAGCAACGAGATTCCAGCGCTTCTGCCGCGCAACTTCGTTAACGACTTCGACGACAGGGCGCGCTGAGGCGGCTGATGCAAGAGGGCGTACACATAGCGGAGCTAAACGACCAGCGGCGCGGCTACACCGCGGCGGCCCGGGCTGCGCGCGCGCACGGGGGCGGCTCGCGACTTCCAGCCAAATTTCTAGCCCGTGGCAATGCAGACCGCGCGGCGGGTGGCCGCCGAGAGCGTGACGTAATTACCCAGTTGGCAGTACCAGTCGCGGAGATGACGCGGCCCTCAGTGTCAATGCCTCTGACAAGGTAGCCCCGATGAAGGGGGTGGTCGCGTCGATGGCCGTCGCCGCGCTGATCGAAGACATCGGGGGCGGCGACGCGAAGACCTGCCGGTCGAAGGAGGCGCATCTGACGTTGACCTGCCGGTCGAAGGATGCCAGGCTCCTGACGTTGCGGCGCGACGGGCGCGGCGAACGACATCGCCCGCGGCGAGACGCCACCCGCGGCGCGAGCGCCGCGAAGCAGAAATATTTGCCAGCCCAGGGGCCCCAGACGGCGGAGTCGCGCACGCAAGTCCTTCATCGTTGGAGCGAGGGCCCCACCATCTGGGGGCTGACAGACGGCTGACTATGGAGCAGCGGAACGCGGGGGAACACGATCCTTCTCCCAGATGTTGGATCTACTCGGCAGCCGGCGCCGCCGCGACATAGCGAAGCTGGCGGATCGGGGGACGCCGCGCAGCGCATGCAGGTGATCGAATACTTATTACGACGTCGGCTGCCATCCAGACGGCGGCGAGCAGCTCGACCAGACGGGCGGCAAGGGCGCGCGCCTGGAGGAGTCAGCCTTCTTCAGATAAAAGTTGATGGCTGCGCCGCAGTGGCCGACGAACGCGTCGACCGAACTCGAACGCGACTCGGCCGCCATGAAGCAGATGGGGAAAGCCCGCGAGGCGAGGAAGCTCGCGGACAATAATGAGGGTGCCGCAGGGGCCCCCGAGCCCGCGGCGCTCTTGCAGGGAGCGCGCCAGAGATGAGCCCTGACGTCGCATCTGCACATGGCTCCCAGGGGATAGGGCGGCGAACCGCAACCTGCCCCCTCTGGCCCACATCCGATTCGCGAGCTTGGACGACGAGGGGCGCCAGCCGAAGTCTCGACGGTGCCGGCCGCTGCGCGCGCGCCGAGCGAGCTCGACCGCGGGCGATCGCATCCGCGGCCGGCAGGTCTTCGGGCGAGCGCTATCTAGGCAGGGGCGCTGCGAGATCCAGAGCGCCGCCCGGGCCGCGCCCCCCTAGCCCGGTCGCCGCCCGAGGACGCGTCTCCCCACGGGGCCCTCGCGGAGCTACCGGCCAAGCGCGTCGTCGCCGGGGAGAAGGTGTCGACAGATCTCTTTGGTCTCTGCTTTCGGTCGGGGGCGACCCCCAGGCCTCGGCGCCTCTGCCCAGGGGGGGGCCATGCGTGTTGGAGCTATTCAGAAGCAAGATCTCGCCTCCACTTGAGGCGCCGGCGAGCATGGCGGCAGCGCCCTCGACGCGCCCGCGCCCTGATCCGTCGCCGCAGGGCAGGCCGCGCCGGCGCGCGCGACCCCTCGCGGCCCTCGCCAGCGCAGGCATGCCCGAGCGAAGGCACATCGCCCCCACCCCCCTCCCAGTAAGTTTTTTTCGCCGTCAGGAAAAAGAGCGGCAGGCAACGTTCGATAGTGGATGTTCGATTGTCATATCTGCGTTTCGGGTCTTCCGATTCGAATGACCTGGTGATTGGCCTTCATTTGCCCCCCTGCAGGTGGATCCTGGCCCGCCTTGCAGTGTTTTGTCTGGCTTGATATCCAGGGCGCCCTCTATTGCCTCTTCTCTGAGCTCGTTGCCTTGTTTTGCGTGCGCCTGGTCACTGCTGGACTCGCCAGCCTCGGCGCGCCCGAAGACGTCCCTGTCAAGAGCTGTGCCCCCACATCCGCGCTGCGCCCGTGGCGCGGGGCCACGCGCGGCGTTGGCGCCAGCACGGTCGCGAGCGTCTCGCCTCCTGGCAGCGCGGCGCCCGCTCGTCGAACAGGTCCCCAGACAGATGGCGCGGCGTCTGTATTGGGGGCCAGGGGTTCGCCCGCGCCGAGCACGTCGATAATTCTGTTGCCATCGGGCGACGAGTCTCAGAGCTCCACGCTGCGCCCGACTCAGTGCGGGCGGCCGTGGGGGATGCTGGCACGGCGAGGCGCACTCGCGCGAGCGCAGTGGGCGGCGCCGCGCTCGGCTGGGAATCCAAGGCAAATGGCCCCCGAGTTCGAGTCAGTCGTTGAGGGTTCTATGCTTTCGTCAGAATCACCCGATGGGGCTCGCGCGCGGCGGGCGCATCCACCTCGGCGCTGATCTCGCGCTTCGTCGGCGCTGCGCCAGTGCGCGGGCGGACTCGCTGATCGCTCGGCCAGGCGCCACGTCCGGCGATGTTACGCCGCTCGCGGCCTGCAGTTTAGGGTTTATGGTTTAGGGCTTTGCCCGGACTGGGTGGCCTGGGCTACGTCGCGGCCGCCCAGCGCGTGGAAAACTTTCGGCGCGGCCGATCGGGGAGTTGGGCCGGTCTCCGAGGTGGACCGCGACGCCCTGGAAGGGGCTCCAGAATGCCGTCGCCGCCGCCGCTGGGCGCGGCGGGAGGCGATGCCCGCTTTGGAGGGGCGCGCGCGCCTGTCTGGGGAGCCCGTCGCGCCATCCGAAGTTTGACCGAGCGTTGCTTGGGACGCGCGTTTTGTTTCCGACCGAAGGAATGTCCGAGGTCCTTGCTGTGGAAAAAGCTTCTTGCCCATTGCAGCCGCGTTGGGGGCGGGCGCGGGCGGCGCTGACTTTTGCGGCCGACGCGCGCCCTCGGGCGCGCTGGATTCGACCCGGAGCGAACGTTCCCGATGAGCCATCCCGACGACGCGAGTCGAAGCCGCCAGGGTGCAAATTTGCTCGCGCTCGACCTGCGCCAGGGCTGCCCGAGCCTTCGGAAGGCCGCGCCTAAGCGCCGAAGGCCCGCAAGCCCACCGCTGTCAGCGCTGGCGACGGGGCCCCTTCGCGCTCGCGCGGCGCCGTCGCGCTGGCCCGCCGGCGAGAGGCCCGGGGGCCGACGCCGGGCAGCCTCGCGCGAGCGGGTGCGGCGGCCAGGCGGACAGCGTGGCCGGCGCCGCTGGCCGCCCTCCCGCGAGTCTGCACGAACGACCTGGGTACGGAAAGGATGGTACTCCAGAGTTCGTAATAAAAGGGAGGGGGTCTGGACCTTTCAAGACAAGCCACTTCAGACCCCCCCCCGTGGGAGAACCCTTTAAAACATCGTCCCCAGACCCCCCCAGGCCCTCCAAGATAGCTTGGAAGAGACCCCCCCGAAATGAGACCCCCCTCCCTTTATTACGAAATCTGGAGTACAATGCCAGCAGCAGTTCCTGCTCATTTTGCACAGGACGCGCTGTGGGTGCCGCCGCGGCCTGTGTGCATTTGAGACCAGGAGGCCGCCTGCCCAACAGCGGCCGCTGTCGGTTTGGGACAACATTTCTGGTTGGACTCTGTTCAGGAAGGAAAGAAAGACACAGACACAATTAATCGTCGTTCCCCAGGAAAATATGCGATACTATGGGAAGTGTAGGGGAAGACAGAAACCCAGAAAATATGGAAAACTATAAGGAATATGTTTTATTCGTGTGTATTTACTTGTGTGTCCGCGGGCCCCTGCAATTGTCCCCATTTTTTTCCGTCCCCATGTCCGGGCGTCCAAAGCGGCGAGGAGGGGCTCCCTCCACGGAGGCGAGGCGCCCGCGCCCCAAGGGCTCGGCCCCGCCCACGGGCCGCGACGCGGCGGGGCCACCACACAGCAGCGGGCCGCCGCGCGGAAGGGCACGCTCCCAGAGGAGGTTCGAGGCGCGAGCGCGGACGGGATGGGCCTGCTCGAGAGGGAGAGCGTCGGCGACCACGAACCAGCGCGCGCACCCGACGATGCCGCGCGGCTCCAGGGGCCGCTCCGCGAACATGGGCCCGCGGCTCCAGGCGGCGGCGAAGGTCGACCACGTGGCCGCGGAGTGGAGCCGCCAAACGTTTTTCGACGGCGGCGACACTCAGGGCGGGGGTCGGCTGAGGGCGGCGCTGACACACTACTCTCCACAGCTGCTGGGCCCCATGGGCGCCCCGCGCGTCGCGCGGCCGCTTATAGGGTGGAAGCGGCTGGCGCCGCCTCGCAGCCGGCTGCTGCTGCCGCGGGAGGCGACCTGCGCCGTGGCAAACCAGGTGGCGCCCAGCGACGACTCACATGCGGCGCGGCTGGTGGCGGTGGCGTTCGTGTTCTGCCTTCGTCTGGCGGAGCCGGTGTCTCTCGCCGGGTGCCTGGGAGCGCCTGAGATACCGGGCGCCCATAATTTTCAAAGTATAGAAATTCGGTTGCAACAACAGTGCAGCTGTGAGCCTTGGGGCACTCCACTTCGTTTGAAGGGCATGGTGGTGAATATGTACGTATACATACTTATACACATATACATATATATATATATGTATATGTGTGTGTACCTGAATATGTATGTACACACATCCATGTCTGTATACGTATGTGTAGGTATATTGGATATACGTGTGTATGTATATACAGTATACAGACGTGTTTGCTTGAATTATCTCTCTCGCTTTCCTCTCTCTCTCTCTCTATTTTGTTTCTCTCTCTCTCTCTCTGTGCTTCTCTCTCTCTCTCTCTCTTTCTCTCTCTCTCTCTTTCTCTCTCTCTCTCTCTCTCTCTCTCTTTCTCCCTATCGAATGGCCTCTGGCACATCCCGCCACCGTGCTTGGGTTGTGGGTATGAAACCTATTGGATGTTCGTTGGGAGATCGTGGGGGGCCTCTCTGGGGCCTTTCGGAAGCAGTTTGGAGGCCTCTTGGGCGCCTGGGACATTTTTGGGGCGGGCGTATCTTGAGCCTCTCAGGGCCTCTTGGGGGCCTCTGTGGACCCCTTGGGGACCTTGGGGGGCCTCCTGGGCGCCTCTGTGGGCCTCCTGGGGGCCTTGGGGCGGAAGGCTTGGATTTTCGCTGTGTGTTCCGTCTCTTGGGCTTCTTTTGGGGCCGTCTTCGGGCCCTCTTGGGCCGTCTTGGGCGCCTCTTGGACCGTCTTGGGGCGCTCTTACGCTGACTTGGGGTCCTCTTCGAGGCCTCTTTGGCTGTTTTGGAGTGTCTTGAGGGCCTCTTGGGCCGTCTTGAAGCGTCGGGGAGCCGGAAAGGCGAGACCGCCAAATTTGTTAGAAAAACGTTGGAACATCATTGATGTCTGCCTCTTGGGGCCCTCTTGGGGGGCCTCGTGGAGGCTTTTTGGGGCGTCTTCGAGGCCTCTTGGGCCGGCCGGGGGCAATCTTCGGCGTCTTGGGCCGATCTTTGGGCGATTCGGGGCCCTTTTGGTGCGTCTTACGTCTTCGCGGCTTCTTGGGGTCCTCTTGGACCGACTTGGGGCCCCCCTGCGCCCGAAAAAGTCACGCGCCACCAATTGGCAAAGCCCAGGATGCACGCGACAAGTCCCAAGAGATTTCTGAGTTTTGGGTCCGGGCCCCTTACACTTCAACAATTCCGTAAGACTGACGACTGAGGCTCAGGGGATTGGGCGCAAGACCTGAGGACACGCCCATTCCGTGCCCAGAGGCAGGGTGGCAAATATCTATGTGTGTTTCTACAAGTAAAGATAAACATATACATACATGCATGCGTACATACATTCATGCATGCATGCATGCACACATATACCCATGCGTGCATGCATACGTACATAGATCCATACATCGAGACGTTCATGTGTATAGATACACATGTATGGTAATATCTCTCTCTGTCGTGCTCTCTCTCTCTCTCTCTCGTTCTCGTTCTCGCTATCTGGTTGAGTTCTCTCTCTTTCTCTCTCTCTCTCTCTCTCTTTTCATCTCTCTTTCTCTCTCTGTCTCTCTACCTCCCTCTTTTTGTTTTGTTCTCTCTCTCTCTCTCTCTCTCTCTCTCTCTCTCCCCCCCCGTCCGCATCTGCATCCACCACGCTTCTTCCCGTTGTGTCAAGGCCGCCCGGCAACTGAAGACGCCCTATGGGACACCACACAGAGGGAAAGGAGGCGCAAGTATCTTTAATCGTGGGCTTCCTGGCAGCACGTCTGTACAGCGATCGCCGTTCGTCCTCGCAGATCTCATACAGTTCTGATTGTCAGAGCTCCCTCTGCCACTCATGTTTGCATTACCTCTTGTACTTCATATCCCCTTCTGCTAGCCGTACTATCCATTGCAGCCTGGCTACTCCCAGTCCACAATGCCCCCATAGCATCAACAGTGCCATTCCTAGTGTCCGTCGTGCTGCAAATGATTGCAATACCCTCACTGCCTGCCCCTGAGACAGATCACTACCATGTAGATGCGTTCGGTCCATCCCGCCGCCGTGCCGTCCCCAAGACTCCGTCGTGGCAAGACTTTGCAACTTACAATGTTCATCCAGTACTATTGACGTCTGGAAAAATGTCACCCGCGGGGCGAACGCAGGAGCTTCCATGACTCGGGGGGTAGGCTCCTAGAATAACATTATCATGCTAGCATGCTATTCCAGCTTGGGAACTCGACAGGACCGGATGACACTATACTCAGTGCCTCGCGGCACGGTGCCGATTGGCACGACGGGCCCTCGAATTCCGATTCGCAGCAGCCATAAATGGTCTATGCATTGTGCCCCGAATTCCTGGCCCACGTCCAGTGGCCTTCTTCCTCCTCGCACCGCTCCCACCACATCCTTATTTGTGTGTTGTGACCTGTTTTGCACCAGTAGTTCTTGGATAAAGCCTGACCAGCTCTATCATGATGAGCACTGTAGAGAAGAGAGCCGATTAGAAAAGGCATCCGCAGGCTTGCGGCAAATCTATCCGGACAAGAACGGGAAGCGCTGCTTCTCTGAGCTCGCGTGCGCACGCGCGCCCAGACTTGCACCCAGCACAGCCGTGCGCACGGGTGGCCCCCCGAGTGTGTGCACGCGGGTGGCCACCCGGATGCGACAACGCGGGTGGCAACCCCAACGTCTACCCACGCGGGACCGCCCGAATGCAAAGAGGCGTGCCGATTCGAGAAATAGGCATGCACGGGCTCGAGGCGAAGCCGCCGGCGTGCCAGCGAAGCACTCTCTGCGTGGCGACCTCTTTGGTCTTTGGGCACCGCCTGGGTGCCCGTCACCGGCGGCACCTCGCGCCACTGCGTGCCGAGGAGCTCCCCGCTGGGCACGATGCGGGCAGCCTTGGGGCTGTCCAGGGTTCCTCGACAGTGGAGGCCCATGCCAAGAAACACCCTGCTTGCCTCCAGGGTGCCCTGGACATATTGGTTCGCCATGGTTTTGTTGTGGGGAGCGTTACGTTCCCACACCAAAAATGAATGAACGTCCTGGGGTCTCAGGGTTGGGTTTCTTGTGGAAGGTTTCTTGTGGACTGGGCTCCACTGTACTTATTGAGGAGCTCTCCGCTGGGCACGATTTGGGCCGACTTGGAGCTGTCTGGGGTTCCTCTAGGGCAGCCTTGGGTATCCCTCGCGGCGCTCTTGGGACGTCTTGGGGCTCTTCTTGGACCGTCGTTGGGGCCCGATTGAGCCGTCGTGGGGCTCCCTTGGCCGCCTGGGAGGTCTTTTGGTCGGGGCCGTTTTGGGCCTGGGCCGTGTAGGCGCAATCTGGGGTCCATCTTGGGCCAGCTGTGGCTCTCGTGTGGCCGTCCTGGGCCGACTACTCTCAGTGGGTTCCGTTGGGCTCTCGCAGGCCGCAAGTGTACCGATCGTCGACCGTAGAGCGTGCAAAGCGAACACGTACTCTCACACACACACACACACACACACACACACACACACACACACACACACACGCACACACACACACACACACACGCACTCACACACACGCTCGCACTGAAACATGTCTGGGAATTTAAAGTGGTTGATCTCTCGAGGGCATCTTGGGGAGCGTATTGGGTGCGTATGTTGAGCCTCTTGGGCGCATGTTGAGGTAAGTTTGGGCTATCTTGGCGGCCTTGGTGACCCTCCTGAGCCGCTCGGGAAGCCTCGGGGAATCCCGGAGAGGCCCAGGCAGGCGTCGGGGCACACAGTTACCCTCGGGAGGAAGAGGTTGTGCATGCGATTGGGCGCGACAGGGAAACAGCCAGTGGCATTCTGCCATGCTTCAGCGTGCCAGTGGTCACGCTGTTGGGTTTTCGTATGAGATTTCGGTCGTACCCAGGAAATCAGCGCATGTATTGAGAATGGCACCTTGTACCTCTTGCGAGTGTACTTGTGCTCGTATCTGTCCTGCGGTTGTGACGTTTTAGTTGTTTGGTGTTCCCGAGGAGACGGTCCTCCCTCGACTTGTTGAGCTCATTGCGAGTACACAATGCTGACGCGTTCTGCATTGCAGCGCTTGGGAACCCCAGCTGCGAAAGCACGTGGATGCACGGTTCAGATACAGTCCACCCGCATGGTAAGGATGGGTAACCTTTTCCAATGGTGTGTGTGTGTGTGCATCTTTGCCTCCTCGGTCCATCCTTCGCCATTGTCGTTGCCCGCGCCCCACTGGAAAAGCTTCGAAATGGGCGTCCAAGGCCCTTAGTAATAGTAGTAGTAGTAGTAGTAGTAGTAGTAGTAGTAGTAGCAGCAGCAGGAGTGGGAGTA